CCCTGCCTAGTCAGCTCAGCTACTGGGCACACAAAGAGGTAGTCACCAACAATTTGTTCCATGGCCCATCGATACTGTGCCTTGCCTTGCTTCTCCCCGTCCTGGCTGTACCACCAAGCCACAGCCTGGATGGCCCCTTCTGGTGCCCCTGGCACCATGAGCTTCAACACCTGCTGCAGCTCCTCCATACCGACGTTGCTGGCGTTCTGCAGCTCTAAGGTGGGGGCACCAAAGAGTAGTATGTAGGAGCCTTCGTTGGCAGTGAAACCAGCTGCGATGGGTATAGGCTGGCTCTGCTTAGCCTGCAGGAGTCTTGATGGTGAATCAGGCAGGAAATCCCCATCTGTTGTCGGCACAAAGGGCATTCCCAGCAGCTCCCTGTGGCGCAAGACGGAGAACTCATGTTTGGGGAACTCCCCAGGTTCCTTCCCCTGCAGGCAGCCCACCAGGGCCGTGTCATCGCTATTGGTGCAGCCCAGCAGCTGGCCCAGCCTCTGGCCTCTCTCCTTGGCCTGCTCAAGCGAAATCCAAGCCCAGGGTGCTGTCGGGGATCCGCTCTGCAGCATGGCTCGGGTGAAGAGGGGCCGGCTCCCCGGGGAGAGGAGATGGAAGCCGACTGATGCAGCCCCAGAGCCAATGCCGTAAAGCATCACATGGGCTGGATCCCCTCCAAAAGCAGCTGCATTATCCCGCAGCCAGCGCAGTGCCAGGCGCTGGTCCCACAGGCCGGCGTTCCCCGGGGCGGCCGGGGGCAGAGACAGGAAGCCCAGCGGCCCCAGCCGGTAGTTCATGGAGGCCACGATCACATTCTCAGTGGCGGCTAAGAAGCGCCCGTCATAAACCTTGAGGGAGGCTGCACCTGAGGAGAACCCACCACCGTGGATCCAGATGAGGATTGGGGCCGGTGCAGAGGGCCGGGGATGGGGCACCCAGACATTGAGGAAGAGGCAGTCCTCAGACTGCGGCCTTGTGGGTGTGAATAATTCGTCCTCAGGGTAAGTAGGAATTGGATGCTGGTGGCAGACATTGCCGAAGCTGGTGGTCTCCAGGACGTGACTCCAGGGCTGGTGGGGAAGCGGTTTCTGGAAGCGCAAGGCCCCCACGGGGGGCTCGGCGTAGGGGATGCCCAGGAAGGCTGTCACTGTGCTGGAGCCGGCCTGGAGGCGCTTGCCCCGGATGGGGCCACTGGTGGTGAGCACCACGGTGCCGTCGTCATCGGAGCCAGAGCTGAAGCCCGGCAGGGAGAGGAGGAGCAGGCAGGGGAGTGCAGGGAGAAGTCCCAGCATTGCAGCAGCTGGAAGGGAAACCCCCCCCAGGAGGGAGTTATAGGAAACGGGATCTGGGGTTTTTCCCTTCTAGAGGGCACTGGCTCCCTTCTAGTCCCAGCCACCTAAATCCAGACAGCAGGAGGTAGCTCCCTACATCAGCCTAGATCCCCGTTAAGAAATACAGTCCCCTGGTCTTTTCTGTTCATGCTCCAGCTCCCTGCTGAGCTCCCTGATCAGCATCAACCATAAGAACATAAGAATGGCCACACTAGGTCAGACCAAAGGTCCATCTGGCCCAGTGTCCTGTCTTCCCACAGTGGCCAATGCCAGGTGCCCCAGAAGGAATGAACAGAACAGGTGATTATCAAGTGATCCATCCCCTGTCGCCCATTCCCAGATTCTAGCAAACAGAGGCTAGGGACACCGTCCCTGCCCATCCTGGCTAATAGTCATTGGTGGATCTGTCTTCCATGAACTTATCTAGTTCTTTTTTGAAAACTGTTATAGTGTTGGCATTCACCACGTCCTCTGGCAAAGAGTTCCACTAGCTGACACTATCTCTAAGAGGGCAGTGGGGTCTAGTGGACTAGAGCGTGGGAGGAAAGGGGAGCTGGGAGTCTGTACTCCTGGTTTCCCTCCCCAGCTCTAACAGTGGGGTCTGTGGAAATGGTAGTAGATGGGTAATGATTTAGATTGATCCCAATTCCCGCTGTTCTTCCACTTCATTCACTCTCTGGACCCCTCTGTCCCTAGCTCTGAGGCAGTGGGGCCCTGGGTAGCACAGACTCACCTGCCCTTCTCCTGGGCACACTCACAGTCGTGTCTCTCGGTTCAGCACGAAGGTGAACGGGGGATGCTGGAACAAATAGGAAGCCTCCAATGCTGATAATAACAGCAAGGGAGCAACCACTGGGGCTTATTTATCCTCAAATCTGTGTCCTCATGAGGCTGTGCACACACAGGGGGAGGGGGATCTGGTCCGGCCGGGTGGGACTGCTGGGGAGGAGCCAAGGTGTTTGGAAACAGACACCCAGTTGGGTAAACAGCATAAGAGCTTTAGGGACAGAACGGCCGTGATTGCTCAACTGCAGCCACCTCTGGGGTGGGGCAGGTGGGTACCAGGAAGTGATTCAGGAATCCTGTGTCCAAAGAAAATATAAGTGGATTTTAGATGATGGGGCAGAATGGAATAACTGAAGAGAGCGTTTGGCCAAGTGACTGAGAACATACCCCAGTGATGAGAGAAAGTGCTTGGGGATGTTTAGTGAGAAGCAGGGCCAATGAGTTGGTTGTTTCTAATGTGAAATCCAGGATTCATTGCAGCACAGCACCGTGCTGGGGCATTTGGGTCAGCCCCGACTCCAAGGGGTACTCCTGGGGAATTCTGCGCCACTGTAACACGCAGAATTCATGTGCCACGCAGAATTTTTTTCCCCACAGAAAATACATTCTGCTGGGCCATTTGGGTCAGCATTGACTGCAAGGGGACTGTTCCCTCTAGTAAGCTCCCACCTTGCTCCTTGTAGCTCAGCGCTCCCCAACACCATGCTAGAGCAGCACCACCCCTTCTGCACAGCACCCCTTAGTGCCACACTGGGACACTGGGGACAGCACTGACTGTATGGGAAAAGCATCCCTCCTTAACCCCTGTAGCATATGCAGAATTTTGGTAGTTGCTTTTTGAAATCCTGCCCATGCTGCAGCCCTCTTAGCTTGTGAGAGCCACTCCAGGTGAGATCCTGGTTCTGACAACATATAGTTGGGTCATGAACAT